TGTTCGTCTAAATGTTATTTTTCTTTTCCTCGACCTGAAAGCAACATAAACAAGCTTACATTAACTTACATTTACTGACATTAACAATATAGGGAGATTGTATGTAGATTTTTCTGTTGATATCTGCAGTGCTGTTCTCTAAGGAAACAGCCTTGCGCACAGCGCTGCCACAGCGTCGAACTTCAAACTAACTAGTTTGAAATTCGACGTTGTGGCAGCGATATAGCGTCAAATTTCAAAGGCACTTAGTTTGAAGTTCGACGCTGTGGCAGCTCTGTACGCAAGTCTGTTTCCTTAGAGAATAGCACTGCCGGTATATTGATACATAGAGCCGTAAGGTATTGGCTTGACAGGATTACAAACTCACAAACAAACTGACACTGGCTTTTATAATAATAATACTTAGTAGAATTATAACTCTCTTAAATAATATTTTAAAGTAAAAAAAGTCCTAACTTTGATATCATAGTGATATGAAATACCATTAATAAAAGCCATCCGCGGTTGCTAACTACAGTTACGGAAGTAATTTCCCTTACACAAATGAACTGCCATAGAACGTATAAACTAAAACTTGGGATGCTTACAATGTATATCGAACGATTCATTAATTTTGGCATATCCATTAGAACTTCATACATGTAACACATTAGTTCCAGTCGATTCCGTTACGCGAGAAACACACTAATGCACGCAGATACATCGACTACGTTCTTATAGCGTTTTCGTATTTGTATCTCCAAAGCGATAATACTCATTCTATTTCCTTTCACCTGTTTGTGAATCGTGTTTCAGTTTTATTTGTTGGATTAATGAGAGTTCTGACTGTGGAAACTTTTAATGACACCCAGTTACTGAAAGTTCTATGAGGCAGAGACCTGTATTATTTTATAACACAGTCCTTAAATATTATTCACTCTTTCTATCTTTCCCTTAAAACTAGTTTGTTAAAGTTAATAGTAAAATGTAATTAGAAAAAAATTATCTAATAATTGTAGACCATTTTATTCATGATTTAATTTAAGATATTTATTTTAACTTAATTTTTACGTCTTTTAGTAACTCCTTTACGTCTTTAATGTAAAAGAATACGTTATACGTCGAAAAAAATGTATTTTTACTGTAAAACGATATCTTATAAAAATAAGTCAAATTTTAATTAACTTATTATTTTAATTGACTACTTACTTATTACCTGCTAATATAATATTTTACAATTTTATCACATTTTTTTATGTGGAGTTTTTTCAACCATCACTGAAAAAATACCTTCTTTTGTGTAACAATAAAATCCATAGCAGGCCTTTGGGATATATTATCTGTGTTTTTGATCTTACGAGTCCTTATCAAGTTCACTTTTGCATTGCATACTAGGCTGACTAGCGGCACATGCTAACTGGACTACACGTTCTGTTAACATTGTCCAGAAGTGTTCCAACCGCATCGAATTATTGAACACGGGCTCATTAAATAAGCAATAAACCGTTATCGTTATTCATTCTTCATGCCCTGTCCCTCTGAGAGAGAGAGGTTAAAGTTCAGACAGAGGGGTTCAGCATCTTTCAGAGTACCAGACATTGCCTGTAGCAGACCTCGTTTCGGCCGTTCTTTAAAAATCTTAAAATAGTAAAAATCAGTGAATCAGCGATATCTTCATTTGACGGGACATTCATTTCACCAGCCCGTAATCCTGATCAGTCATAAACAGAGATTGGCACCTCGGATGATGCTTTCAGTGTTAAAAGTTAACCTTCCGATCAGCCTGGTGGGCTCACTGATAGTTCTAAAAACTCATTACGGCGTGTTGTAGTAGCACAATATTTAAGCATCTTAGCGTACTATGTATAATGCTGTAAAACGCCATGAAAATGTACCATCGCGTTTTTTCTTTTTTTTAATGTTTTTTTAAATTTTGAAACTAGTTCAAAACTCCTGCCATAATTAGAAATTACCTAAGCAAAGCCTTGGTTGATTACACTCTGAGTACTAATAAAGATTTCCACACTTCCTGACATCTGAAGAATTTACAAATATCATAATATTATTTACATATATTATATATAAATGTAGATAATAAATGTAAATAATATTATACAAGTGATTATGAAATGTTAGTAGTACTAAGTAACAACAACAACAACAAACAACACACAAAAGTAGTGTTATGAAGGACAAAAAAAAATATTTTTTTTAAATTTAAACTACCCAACTCTTCATCATGAGTAACAAACCAAACATGACTAACCACCAGAATAGTTTACATTAGGTATCATTTTTGTATTGAAATTTTACACTTTTATCGTAATGTACCTGACTTACTTTACGCTTATCTTACTACTTACACGCTTATCTTTTCAAAACAGACACATTAGTCATCAGTATTCGAAGTAGAACAAGAGTTCATTATGATTATCAAAAGCTTATAACCCGGTCAAGGCTGGAACAACATCGATTTGTAGGTTAATGAAAATTTTACATCTGTTTTGTTAAGCAGATCGTCACAATACAATTTTGTAATACCCAAGCCTTGTAACGTAATAATTGACGACAACGGAATAATTGCAAATTATAATGCACCCAAAAGAAAACAGTCTTATCTGTACCGCACTGCAGGTCAGTTTGTAAAGCATCTATTTATGTCAACTGTCACATGTTGTCAAGGCAAACTAAAAAATACCGAGTTATTTTATCCGCACGGAAAAAAAAAGGGGACACATATATGTTTAATTTTTCATGGAGATTAATAAATTCATTATGTTTAGTTTTTAAAAGTTAATTTATGTGAATGCTGTAAATCGTGCCCTTATCTAGGCGTGGTCTCTGATCATGCATCAAGTGAAAGTAAGGGCCACCGTCATGGCATCACTTGCTTTCTCTTGGTTGTTGTGACCCTGCTTATTGCAAGTCTTTGATTCAATACAATTCGCTAACCTTATTTTCCAGTGCAGCAAGTTAAATTTATTTTACTATTAAATGCAAAGACATTTTAAAGTAATGTATCTTTTATTTATAGAAAAAGTTGGTGATTATATAAGTAACAACTGTTGTAAAGTACAAAAAATGTTAATGATCATAATGCACTTCAATGACCTGACATTAAACTTAGAACGAAAGAATCCCTTGAATCAAACTGTGATAGAATTTCCAAAGGTGTTGTGTATAATTTGGTTAAAGGCGATGAAAGCTTTAAAATTCCAGTCCACTACAGTATTTTGTATATCATCTCAAAGTTTGTCATTCGGTCGACTAAATAAAAAATAAAAGTTGCAATACAAGTTTTTCAAGACAGTCGGGTCAACAAATGTTCGAGTCCCACTTGCGATTATTCGACCTCGAAATTAAGAAAAGTAAAACTTTCGATGTCCCACAACCGCTTACGTTTGTTGACTAATCTAGTTGTTATTAATCTAATCTACTGTTATCAAACATATTCACACACACACACAAAAAATCATTTTTAAACAATTGTCCATTATTTTACAATAGAAATGGGTACATGGAGACATATCCATGCACGCCATATGGATACGTCAAGACTACTTGACTCGCCTAACTTTTCGAAGCCATAAGAAGGGCCCTTTCCTTGTTAACAGAACTAGCATTGCCATTCCACGTGGCAATGCTCCTAGCCTTATGGGAACGCTTTGATGACAATGACGCAAAGAAATGTTATAAACTTATGACGCAAGCGCGTGTATCATCAGTTATTTTTTAAATACATTTACTTTCATCATAGTAATAAGTTAAGTAATTAAATAGAGATTTTCTTTTTTTCTTATTAGTACCTCAATGTTATTTGCCAAACCCCCTTAGCCCACAGACAGAATTAGGTAGTATTAAACACACAGAAGTAGTATCATACAAACACAGTCGGAATATTTTTAAGTTAAAATGAATTATACTGTTACTATTAATAAGGTACACATAACAGTAAACTTGTATAAATTAAAGTAAATAAACGTTGCGTTTTGTATGATTAAAGTAAAAAAATACAGTAAATACATGTTGAGCAAGACATTCAAAAAGAGTTTCTGCAATAAAAACATGGATTGCTAATATACATTTCTGACAATCTTGAATAATAATTAATAATTGACTATAAAGCATGTTAGGTCGATGCCCTCATGTTGAAAAGATCAAAATATATCCACGCAAGGTGTACGCTGCTCGCAGTATCAATTTAGCCAAAAGTGAACACCTGACTAACCGAACAAATATGAACTTTGTAACCTGATAGTTACGGGTTGCAGTAATCGCAAAGATGCAGTGGCTAAATTATAAGTTTGCCTCATAACCAGGCCAGCCCGTGCCTCCGGGCAAAAAGTCGTCTTCGTGTGTCACAAATAATGATTAAAAGGGCGCGAGCGGTGGCGACATTTTGTCTCGTCTCGACGTGAACCCGGCTCTCTCTCTCTCTCTCCGCTGTAATATATTTTCTACTAACCTTATTAATTAAGCAGTAGAGTCATTTTAGGATAGTAAAAGTAAACAACTGGAATAATCTTTGGAAACACATTTGGTTTTTAAATTCGTACTTATATAACACTATATCGAGACTTCACGGCTATCAGTAGTTTTATTTAAAGCCTAAACATCCAAGGAACGCGTGGACTACTACGTCCGAATCATACCGTTGTGAAATGGACCATGCATGAACAGCACATTTAGTCTCGCAATACCCTTTTAGGACCATTTTAGTATGTAAGATTTTTCAGTTAAAGAAAATCAAGGCCTTAAAGTTTATTAAGGTTTTAACTATACGACAGCAATATATACCATTTTAGGATGTTTATAAGAGAGTTTTTGCCTTTCTTCAAATTTATTAAAGACTACTTGCAGACTTTAAATATAATAATAAATTGAAAAATACCTAAAACTTGTCCGAACATTGAAAGCCTTTTTTTTTTGTTATTTCCAGGTTGTGCGGAAAAGCTCGTGATGCTGCGCTCAGACGACAGTGTTAGATAACCGCCTGAAGGCTACGAAGCATGGGTGCGAATATGGGCAAAAACTCGAGCCTGCTCGACGCGCTGCCGACAGCGCAGGGTACGCTACACGTGGTCATGCTGGGCCTTGACTCAGCTGGGAAAACAACAGCGCTTTATCGGCTCAAGTTTGACCAATACCTTAACACCGTCCCCACTATTGGGTTTAACTGTGAAAAAGTGAAAGGAACTCTTGGAAAGTCTAAAGGTGTTAATTTCCTTGTATGGGATGTTGGTGGACAAGAAAAACTGCGACCTCTCTGGAAATCATACACGAGGTGCACGGATGGCATTATATTCGTGCTGGATTCCGTTGATGTAGAACGCATGGAGGAAGCAAAAATGGAGTTAATAAGAACGGCCAAGTCTCCAGATAATACTGGTGTACCGATTTTAGTATTAGCTAATAAACAGGACTTACCGGGGGCGAAGGAACCCCGTGAGTTGGAGAAGTTGTTAGGTTTACACGAGCTGGTGTCGTCACCGCACGGCTCTCGCGATGCACATGCATGGCACGTGCAGCCTGCCTGCGCCATCACCGGCGAGGGGCTGCACGAAGGGCTAGAAGCCCTCTATGAAATGATTCTCAAGAGAAGAAAATTGGCCAAATTGCAAAAGAAACGTGTCAGATAAACTTTATAAATGATAGTATTTGTGACAAGTCCACAGTGCGATAGTAAGTGTTGGTCTGACATTTAAGTATTTTAATATGCTCATAGGAAGGATAAATTTATAATATCCGAGGAAAACACCAAATATTGTTTTACTATAGATGTATAACGTCTTATGAATTGTTCCATCATCATGTTGCTCAAGTTATATTGAACATTTTGAAGGAAACGAATATTATACATTTAAATTAACTACTAGTCATTTTCTTTTGAAAATAGCTAGGTGGAAGATAATGGTAGTGCTATATTATAATGTATTTAAAAGAAGTTCATTTATAACGAGGTAAATACCTACTCATAATTGAACTTAACATTATAGCTTTTAAACGTTACGTGGCCAATGGCCCGCCTAAATGTTTAGAACCTCAGAGTTTTTTTAGTTTGCAAACGTGGCTCACACAATATTATGTGGGACCATTAGTGTTACAATATTAAAGTAACGTGATTGAATGATAAGGAGATGAACATCGGAAAGTTCATAGACCTTTGTCATTTATAACTAATTATGTGTCATGTAAATGAAGATTTAGGTTTATCGTTAAAATTTGCATTGTGTCCGAATGGATAATTTTATAATAAATTATAATAATACATAATTAAAAAAAAATACATTACCGAGCTAGTCGAGGTAATGCGACGTCTTTTCTTACAATTACTGTTTTTTTTTGTGCGCATTAATCTAATTTAAACCTGTATGTTATATCTATACTATCTGAAACTGTAAATGTATCTACATTAAAAATATTGCAAGAAAATAAGTCGCATCAACTAATTAAAAACCTCTGAATTCAAGACCGTTTATTTCCATTTTTTTTTTTCTTTAAACTTTAAACAACTTTTTCCAAAGTTTTGGTGATAATACCTTAAGTTGAATTTTATATGCAGACTAATCTGTTATAATAAAGCAAAATTTTAATAGCTTGTATTTATATAAGCGTTAAATAAACTGGGTGAATTAATTTCTTTTCAGTCTGACTCATGTTAAAAATATATAGATGCTGCTATGTTCATGAACTCTTTATATTTTCCAAACTCAAATAAGGTTTTTTTGTAACGTAATGCGATGTATTATATAATTTCGTTTCTATTATAAGCACTCTATAATTGAATATAAATTATGCTATTGTGAACACACTCCTTATCTTCGTCCTAACTATGTGTAGCACCCTTAACTATGTGTAGCCAACCAACTTAGTCCATTCAATGTTTTACATAATAATTGTGACGTCATTTAGGCATTTTATAATGTATGAAAGAGGCTTGTACTGTCTTTATGTTTGGAGAGCTTCAAATGTTTGTACATAATATGTATTATACATAAAGTAGAAACATAAATATCGTACGAAATACACATTGTAATCGTAAATGTATGTTTGTCTTACGAATACAGTCATTATTTGTGTGTATTTAACATTGCTGGTCTAATAAATTAGTTTCATGTTAGACACAATTTTACTATTTTAGATTATATGTATTTTATCAAAAATACATAACCGAATCATTCACTGGAAGTGTTTAATGGTACCCTTTACTATAGCTTCACTCAATCGTGGTTAAATGTTCAAAATTTTAACTTTCCTCTGAATCACAATAACATCTTTTGAGAACAGTTGAGATTAGCCTACTGGTAGGCTACTTGTACTCTTTGGTTTATGAACAAATTCAAGTAAAAGCTTTAATTAAACTTCTAACAGAAGAAATGTATGGTCATGATTTGTTTATAAATAGTTTTAATTAGCATGTATTTATTTATTTACTCTTAGATATACTCTTTTTTAGTTAGAAAATATGCAATGATTGAAGCTTTTACCATATTTTGTTACAAAATCACTTTGTAAATATGTAAATTCCAAGTAGTCACTTGTCATATATACCAAGAAACCAAAACATTTTTATGTGAAGAACATGTAAATTTTGTTATAAAGTGTATTTGTTTTATTATACCTATACATTGTGTATTATTGTATTGTGTTTTATGAAGATTCATAAACGTTTATCATATTGAAGCCCGTAATTAAACTGTTTTCATTAACAAACTGTGTTTAATTGTGAAAAACCTTCAGTCATAATATACTTCTCTGAAGTTTCTAAATTCATCTAATTCTTGTCTACCATGCTTAAGCTCTGTAAAAAAAGTGCAGGATCTTCTTTTTCAGTCCAATCAGTAAATAGTAACAAGTACTCTATTTCTGATTCTGTTAGGATTTGTGTATTTTCAGTAATAGTTGTTTTAGGTCTTGGTGTCTTTTTTTGCAAACGTCTCTTTACCTTTGCTTGGTAAACGATTGGACTGTCTTTAGTCGCCATTGGGGCGTAAGCACAAAGTAAAGCTCGCTCTAGCCGTTCGAAGAGACATAGTTCTCTTGCAGCTACTTTAGATCTCTTAAATTTACGTCGCTCTGATTCAATAAACTGCTTAAGCGCGATTTTAATATTTTCAGCTGTCACTGATTCCATTCGTTTCGAGTAATCCATGTAACATTCTTCTAAAGCTTTTGCTGTCCCTAATATACCTAAATTCATGGGCTTTTCCTTGTGGACCTTTGCGTAACAGAATTCTAAATGCATTTGAAGTTTTAAAACTTCTGGTGCACCTACACTATCATAAAATAATCCATTTAAGATTTTAAAGAACTTTTTCTCAAGTTGTGAAGATTTTTCTTCGCAAAATAGTAACAGTTTCTCAAAATGTTTAATGACATTAACCACACCAGCGGTATCTTGAGTGATTATATCTTTGAAAAGCTTAATTCCTCTCTTTAAAAAAACAGTGTGTGGAGCCAGTCTAACCACGTGAGTGAAATGATGTAACTGTTGCTGTTCAATGCCATCAAATATTTCTAATAAATCCTTTGGATGTTTAAAGTATAATACTGGCTGTACTAAACCGTTATCACATTCTCTTTTAAGGTTTTCAAAGATAACATTGAATGTATCTTCCTCACTAGAAATTCCAAAATCGAACCCCTTTGCCTCAATCTCTACAGATCGTGCAAAGTTTCTATTTTTCAAGCGCCAACTAGGAGGAGATAAGTAATATAAGAATCTTCCATATTTTTGTTGAAGGCCATACCTGTAGTCAAGTCCCAGGATTTTGGAGGTCATAGTAAACTTTACCGCTGCCAAACATTGCAACTCAAATGCCTTTTTAGTGACTGCCATTTTTATTTCCTCAGACTTACTTAAAAACATCATAGATTTTTTATAGTCATGAGAAATAAAATTATCAAGGTACTTTAGTTGTTTCTTATATTCTTGACAAGTAATGTCATAAATTTCTTCTTCTTTTTGATGATTAATATCGATATTTAACATGCAATCATGTCTGTAACCAACTTCCTGTCTCCACCTTAGTTGGCTGTTAAATAAATATTTCAGCGATTTATATGGGGCAACATACCTTGTATACAGACTACATTTCACGCACGTAAAAAATGTCGGGTCAATATCGGTTATTCCACGGCAATCATCTATGAAGTCGTCAATATCCATCCGTGTCTGAACATCTGTATAGGCAAGCTTATGCTGTTCATGAATACCTATTCCCAACTTCTTTTTGAATCTATCCTGTTCTTGCTTTTTCGAGTACCTCAGATATGGTAGCAGAACTTCTTCTTTTGTAAGTGTGACTACTGGCACAGGATTCATGACAGCAATAGCAGGTAAACTATGTATTTTCTCTTTACATTTTGTTTTCATAGGCTTTTTTGTTGTAACACTGTGAGGTTGATAGCACTTTCTTGGTTTTCGTATATTGATAATAACAGGTAGTGCTTCCTGATCACCCATTTTTAAAATACCACATACTATTTATTGAGTAAATAATATTATAAAATGTATATGCGATGTTAATTTGTTATCTGAACCAGCTAGACTTATTCTTATATTTTTTTAACTTTAACATCGTTACATAGTTGTATTACACAATGGTATATGTAATCCTACAAAAGTTCATGAATATGTAAGAACTTTCTTGTTTCTTCATTTTAGTTGTAATACAATTAAATTTTTAAACTTAAGAAGATTTATTAATTTTTATTAATTTCAGAACTATATCTATACCAGTACAATTTAATGTGTATTTTGCTCTATTTTAAATGCATACTAGATTTTCGGGATACCCATTGGAAAGCTGGCAAAGTGTAAGTATAATATTCATGTAAGTAAGGAGCTGGATCAACGCCTTCACACCAATCTGTAAACAATATCAATCCTTCTCTTTCTTCTTGAGATAATGTGTACTTTTTTTGTTTCGGTTTTTCAGAATGTTCTCCAGTTTTGAAAGTTTGTGACACAGGTTTTTTATCTTTAATTTTTTTTAATACAGGACGACGAAAAGCTGCAGGTTTTAAGAACGCTTTATTCATAGCGCAAGTCATTTCTCTAAAAGCTTTTAACTCTCTTTGAGCTTTATAAGCATTATGCATGACCTTCAAATCTTGTGCGAAAAAGTCATTCCTAGCTTGATTGACAATTTTGAAATCAAGAGAATCTAGGCGTAAGTTGTAATCTTCATACATTACTTCTAGCACCTTCATAGGATCATGCAAACTTTGATGTCCTTCCTCACATTTGCCAAATATCTCTTCATACACGAATTCTATACAAATTTTCAACTTCAGCGTAGCGGGACTTGCAATACTGTCATGAAAAGATTCATTTAATATGCGGAAAAATTTCTCACGTAAATGAGATTCATTAAATTTTTCTCTAGATATTTCGATATTTATTCGATCAATGTAATATTGGAAATAATCAAACTCTTGAGTTGTAACTTGTTTTAGATGTTTTATTCGCTCACGTAATAATCTATTTGGGGCAGCCATTTTAGCCAACTGTATCAGATATTCCCTGCTTTGCAATTCCATACTCCGAAACAAATACATCATCTGCGCAGGCCTTTTAAAATATAACTTTGCAGAAGGTGGATATTTCAGTTCACTTTTGGCAATTTCAACCATTTTCTCGATGTCTAAAGTCTCTACTAAATCATTATCTGTTGCAAATACGCCTTCTTCAAACTGAATAGACTGTACCCTTCCAGTTAAAGTTTCATCATTGATTTGTCTCCATGATAAGGGAGCTACGAACATCAAATAACTTCTATAAGTTTTTAGTATACTTCTGATGGCATCAAGCTTGAATAATACATTGTTTAATATATTTAAAACTGAAGCGTATCCAAGAAATTCGTTATCTTTTGCTACCAGTTCAACGTAAACTTTTTCAGCCTTAGAAACCTTTACACACGCTTTTTTATAGTCCTCCGTCAAAAATTTTTGAAAATTTTTAATGTGTTGTTTTAATTTATTTACTATATTGTCATACTGATCAGATTCCTCTATCATACTTTTATTTATCTTGAGAATTAAATCTCGTCGATATCCGATTTGCTGACGATTCATAGCATATGCTCTTATATTGTTGGTGTACACTTTTATATCATCAAAACACCGTAAAGGACGCCCCTCGATTACGGTATAGAATTCAGGATGAATTTCAACGACTGCCCTTACATCATCTTCTGGTTCTTCTATGAAAAGTCTTTCTGAGATATCTCGTGTTGCCGCAATCCTTAAATTATCTTTTAAATGAAGTGGTTGGGCCAATCTATTTCGTGTTGTAACCTTCTCCTTACGATCACTATACTTTATGTATGACAGTAACTTTTCAGACTTTGGTACACGAAATGGTTGCATGGGTTTCTTCCTTAATGCATTTTGAGGTACGGCATGCTTACGATTTGCAAAATAATGTTGCGTGTTAGGTACATATCTGCGCCTGAATATAACGTCTAAGGTTTTTATGGGGACCATTGGTTTACGTTTTTTTCTTATAGCTGACATTTTATAGTATCAAATTGTTCCAGAAGTCAATTGCTGCAAACTTTATTGTTGCGAATATTTCAGAACTATATAAACTTCAAGAAAATAAATGTATAATTAATTTAACAAATCTGCAACCCTGTATCATGACAGAATATTTGATTCATGATGACATTTGATTGGAACTCCAATCAAAGGAGGATACAAGGTTTCAACTAAGATTATTTACTTAAGGATGGAAGTCGCATACATTTAATAATCTTTTAAATTACCTGGCATAGAAAATTAAATATATATTTTTTTAGTATGTACTTATAAGTTTAAAATAATTAATATCAAATTTTCAAATAATAATTAAATGTAAAAAGAATAGATAATTATGTAAAATAATAATACTTTTATTTCTTCTTTTACACTGAAAACGTTACATCAATAATCAATAATCTGTAACAAAGTTATAAACTACATTTCACGACAGTGATAATCTGTGTGAGAGACTCGTATCCGTACTAGATAAAGCTAGTGTGACAGATGACCAGCCTCTCCTAGCTCTAGACAAGTAGATGCGGTAAGTGAGATGTTTTGTACAATGCAATTTTAACATGTGAGATGAATTAATGAATGTTTATTCACTAAGATGTAATATGACTAAGGATGTGTGATGTGATGTGATGTGTGCGTATGTGTGTATTAACCCTACGACAAATTAAAGCAGGCTTTCACTTTCCTCATAGGTAAGGGATTTCAGCCAATTACAGATAGTACGTTTATATTGATACTTTGTGGAAGAGTAGATATGCAGCAATATTAATATATTATTACACAGGTATCTTCCCAGAAAGCCGTAAAATGCTGTACTACATCGATTACCAGTTGGGGGCCAAACCTTATGATTTAGCCATTGGAGGGGTCATATGGGAGTCATCATCATCATCATCAACAGCCTTTAACAGTCCATTGCTAGACATAGGCCTCTCCTTAGAGAAGTTTAAGGAGGTTTTGGCCTACTATACCACGCTGGCCAGACGGGTTGGTATAGGGTTTGTTTCAAGTTTTCCTTTTGTTCAGTGCTGTTGTCCTGCACAGTTTGTTCTCTTAGTCGTCTCTTACGACACTCACGGGATGAACAGGGGTGGTGACACTCCGTATTCTTAATCCGCCACCACACGGATGGGAGTAGTGAATGTTATTTCAGAACAATGTTTAGAATATATAACTTTTCTTGGGCGCGCGGGATCGCGGTAAAATTACAAGATTGCTTCAACAGCAGTCCGATGTCTATAATGACCTCATAGACGAATGGCAGCAACGCTGGGACGAATCATCCAAGGGGCGCCATCTTTACCAATTTTTTCCATCTGTTCGCGAACGGTTGTCGAGGACATGGCTTGAGGTGGATCACTGTGTCGCTCAATTTCTTACGGGTCATGGTAACTTTAAGAGCAAGTTGTATTCATTTAAATTAGTCGAGTCACCATTGTGTCAATGCTCAACACCTAACTCTCATTATGAACAGTCTGCTCATCATATCCTCTGGGAATGTAGTCTTTGGTATAATGAACGTAATATAATGCTGAATAGCTTGCAGGTGACATCTGGGGCGGTATACTATGGGGATCTTGTGTCAACTAGGGTGAATTTCCGTGCGTTTAGGCGATTCTGCCATACATATTATAGAAATCAAATATAGCTCATGTAGGACCCGTAATATTTTGTGGCCGTGGTGCTTCCCTGTTTAAAAGGGTGTATGCCTATTTTACTTCATTTTGTCTCCCGCTTTGCTAAGGAGGGAAGTGGATTTACTGTATTTCCAACTCCTCCAATTTTCTTCTGATTAATTTCGTTGCGGGTTCCAAGACAGTTTAATTTCTTCCTGGGACTTCCCGAGTGTCATAACTCGGTGTGTTCGTGGGTCACTGCTGTGGATCCTGGTGTACAGGAGTTACAGTGGTGGGCGTGTAGGTGGGATTAGTCCCAATAAAAAAAATATATAACTGACCTCGAAAAGTTGGTACAGATCACTGGATAAAAGAAAGGCAGGGAATGACCTTAAGAACTGCCGTATAAGTTCTTTCTACCCTTATTAGGTTGTGCCACCCCATACTGAGATACAATAGGATAATACAAACAAATGTATTACGAGGATTAAGGCGCTGAGGATAGGTATTAAGTACAAATATTTGAATTGCTTGACCATTTGACTAAGTTGCACTCGCCGTGGTCACAAGCTGACTGATTCCCGTAATACATTATTATATATGTCCGAGTAGTGACGGATTAAGAATACAGAGTGAACATCCCTATTCATCCAATGGGAAGGGACAAACTCTACAATTCAATAAGACTGCAAAGAGAAGGAAAACTTAAGACAAACCCTATACCAATTACCAACCCGGCTGGCCAGGCTGGTATAGTAGACCAAAACCTCAGCACAGCACAGGCCACTCCTTGGTCCTAGGTTCAGCGGTGGACTATTAAAAGGATGATGATGACAATTATAAGCATATTATGGAACATGATTGTTTGAAAGTTATCATGTGTTAATTTATCGTGTGTTGTGTATATGCAAGAAAAACTGGCCACAACGGAGTTATGACATCGAATCAGTTACCATCATCGACGTATACCATACATCATAAAACACACATACAGTTTATAATACAGACCATGTCATAACGCGATGTTGGCCCGACGGCCGTTATTTCCTTATGAGATATTCATTATTAGCATAACGAAATAACGGCTGTCGAGAATTAATAAGCATTTTTATCGCATAAATAATTTGAAAGTATATATAGTTTTTGTAAATAAGCGGTGACTCTGATATGATAGACTGGGCATCTTACATCCATACACAGAACAAATGATCGTGTTTATCACACAATTACTGCATGGATGGCGTAGGGGTTTAAGCGGTAACCTAGCCGCTGGCTACTGAGTGTTGTGGGTTCCATCCCCACATGAGACAACACTTTGGGTGATCCACAAATTGTTGTTCTGAGTCTGGGTGATACTTGTTTTCTTTTCATGAATATTTGTAGTCTCCAGCGACACAGGATTCATAGTGAGTTATCTTTAAAAAAACTAAGCACTAGACCAAGAAACCCAAGAAAATTGTTTAATTAAAATAAAACACTGATTATTTCATAAATATGTTGTATTTTCTTCAAGTGGGTAAATAAATACAGTACTTAGGGTATCAATACTTTTATAAGTACGATACTTTTGATGTGTCACACTAAGGAGTACAAATGTCATTTCTTTTTCTTAAAAAGACAAATAGTTTTGGTTCGATTTCGTGGCTCGACATTTTTAGAGCGTTTAACACTAACTATTCCACACATTTGAAAAAATATTTTTACCATTCGTACCTTATAAATTCCTAAGAAAATAGCAAACACCTTCATCGTCGTTGAAGAACCACCTTTGTTTCTGAAATAAGAGTAAGTATGTTAGATACACAATATGGATATTAGACTTGTAGATTATGTGTTTAATCTACTTGAGATATTTAAACGTTCCGATTTGATTTTATGAATTTAAATAATATTAAACCTTTAATTAATAGTTCGTTTTCCTTCTGGTGGGTTCAAAGGATGACTTCAACCGCTTAGCAAGTTTATCGACATCTTTCAACAGTTTCGCTGCTTCTTTTGCTTGTTTTATTTCCTGCACTCCATCGTCATAGATTTCTTTTTCAATTTGTTTTATCATTCCCAAATCAAACGCTGATATGTCCAACATCAAGTTTTCATATTCACGTTCTAATGCTAGTGCCATATCTATGGAACTAAATTTCGTTTCATTTGACGTTATTAGTCGTTCGTAGGCAAACTCTACGTAATTAAAGATTTGTAAAGCTGTCCCTGAGGATATTAGGTACCTCATTTTGTCCCTTAAAATCTTAAAAAATATCTCTTTTACTTCAACTTCTCTGTTTTCGTTCCATGTAATCATATCTTCAATTTCTTTAATCTGAAACAATATTAACAAGTCTGATAATAAAAAATAAAAACAAACAATACAAGAAAAAAGAGAGAATATGTAAGTACATAGTTAGTGGATGATTATCATTTAAATTGGAATAATAAATTCGACATAAAAGTGATATATAGATACCATTTCCTGGATATATTCCAATTCTTCACGCAACAATATTTTTAAAACTTCGACGGTTTTCAAAAATCTATTTTTCTCTGAATTAAGTTCTTCTGTAAGCAGAAGACAATTCAAGTTTTGTTTTTCCAATAATCCAAATATTATCAATAGTTGCTCAGGACAATCGAAATACAGCTGTGGAGCCGGTAGGCTATTTAGGCGCTTTTCTATTGTTTTTTTATCAATTTCCTTGAAAACATCAGATTCTATGGTAAATATCTCAGAATATTTAGTGTCCAACTTTATACTATGACTGTTCTGCCATAGAATCGGAGATGCTTTGTGGAGAAAATTTTGAAATGACAGTAAAATCATTAGAGTCTCTTCAATGTACTGCAGCTTGGATTTGAGAGAAGCCATTTCGTAGTTAGCTTTTTTAAGTTTTTCGTTTTGATTTGTGAGTTCTTTAGCCAAAGCATCGGATCTTTGCATTATGGCAATCGTTTTATTATTATCATGGGCCAAAAATTTATCAAAGCTCTTTTGATATTCTTCGAAGTGCTTATACGCTTTGTCGTAAATATATTGCTCTGATTTTATTTCTCTATTTATTCTTAGTATTTCATCAACTAAAAACCCATGCACAGTCCTCTTCAAGGCAATATTTTTTATATTTTTCTTATACATGTGAATCGATTTATTTGTCCGTATAGGTCGTCCTTCAACTAAGGAATAATACGCTGGATCGACATCCATTATTGTTTTAACATCACACTCTGCTACAGGTTCAATAGGCGGTAATTTTATCCCGGCTACAGTTTTTCTCGTTTGCCTTTTCATTTTATTTTTAATTAGTTCCATTTCTACTTAGAACTTGATTACACTTTATACACTGACGCTTACGTTTTCCTCAATACGCAAATCAATATTGCTATAGCAACAAATAACTTAGTTTTTCAGATACAGGTATTCTATAGGTATGCAAAAGTAGGCAAAAGTAATATTCTCAGGCTTTTTTTCTAGTAATAATAAGTATTTTTTATTGTATTAAGATAATAGTTAAGAACAGCAGACTAAGCTTTAAGGAACTTTATTGTGAACAAAGCTTTAGTGAACTTGTTGGCTTAGTTAGCTCTTATATAAGTTCTTTGAACGAACTCCACGTGCGTTATAATACAGCTATCTAATTTGTGTTAACTATTACAAAAAAAAGTATGAAGTGAAATCGGAATTATGTTTATTTATTTAGCAAGTACAAAAATGACTAGAAACATTTCTCAAATTCCACACAACTTTTTAGGTATTGTATTAATTTGACTGTTCGGAGCTCTGAGAGCCCTCAGCAGATTTTTCTTGTTCGTCTTCGTCTACATCTTTCTTAACCAATTCCCAAGGCATGACGGGCAGTGGTTCCACAAAAGAATCGTCTATCTTCAACTTGTACAGAAGCCGGGGAGTAAAGTGTGTTGGTAGAGGCCAAACCTCCTCTATAAAAGACAACGAATTTACAATACATAAAGACATATAGATAATTATATACATATATTATGTAAACCTTTTTAAAAACAATCTCAAAAAGCGCCTGGGCAAGGTATGTTAATATATTCTATCCCTATATTCCCTAACCACAAAATAATTAAAATTATTCAATTTGGATAAGGGTGTGGCAACGTCGTTAATACTATGATATACAATATAAGTACAAATTTAAGGTAACTATTCTTTTGCAAATACTGGGTCTACCAATAGGGATGACCTGGTTTTGACAGCTCATAGCAGCCATGTTTGATGATGGATCTTTGACGTCTCTTGACATTTGTGTTCAGTAAGGTTTGCCATTTTATCATGTCACGTTTCACTTTAAACCAACGCTTGGAAATTGGCCAAAATTTCTTTGAAAGTGACGAAGGAAACCCTGTTACTGTGAATGGCGAGCGCTATAACTCGATGATAACCGAATATTTCTTTCCGGAATTTGATGATATTGATGCAGACGACCTTTATTTTCAACAAGACGATGCACCACCTCACATTACTCGAGTGAACATGGAATTATTGCGTGGAATTTTGGTGAGTCGTTAATTTCGAAAAATGGACCGATCAATTGGCCACCAAGATCGTGTGATTTAACACCTTTAGACTATTTTCTTTGGGGTTACGTTAAATCTTAAGTGTACAGCAATAAACCAGCTACAATTCGTGACCTAAAAACCAACATTCGACGAGGCATAGCCGACATATCGGCCGAAATGGTGCACCGCGTCATCAAAAATTGGCGTGAGCGTGGCGTTGGTGACCGTCTACAAAAAGAGCCGCGGCGGTCATTTGGCCGATATATTATTTAAAACATAAATTGCATAAATTATCTATCAAATAAATCAATCGGATGCATTTTTCATAAAAAAATGTGTGTTTTATTCAATTTTTAAACCAGGACGCTCTTATTGGTAGACCCCATATTTGTACAGTGAATAACGAATATGATATTGCCGTTTGTCATGACGTTGCGTTACGTTAACTAGAGTTGATCAAACCAGAAAACTTTTAGCCAAACAGAACTCAACATTTAGATGTATAGCACTCAGCTGTCAAGCTGTTCTTGAATTATTCTTACCGCTATAAAAGGTGTAGTCACCAACGCGTCGGTGTAAATTGGCAGTTTCACGAAGATTGAGGAAGTATTGAGATTTTAACATAAAGTCTAAGAGAGCTACCTCGGGTAGGGCTTCCATTTTCGGGTCTACAGCGCTCAACCCCTCAAATGATAGCTGCAAGCATATTGAACAATGTTACTATATAAAAGACAGAAATCACAGAATAGCCTTATAAAGACAGTTAAAGATGGAGCGAGAAACCTGCAGCTCTTCTTTTTTGTACGTGTGTAAATCTCCTGGAGCCGTCACCCCACCGGAGTTTATGGTGTGTCGGAATCGAACCGACTAAAACCACAAAGTGTGCCATACTGCGTCTTAAACAGGAAGAACCCGGGAACAGTTTTTATTCGGACTTCCGGACCCCTTCTAGCGCCTGCCCGCAAAAGTCTGAGATACCTTACCTTTATTTTATACCTTAGTACCTTTGATAACAACATAGATATGGCACTTGAAAATTCGACCAAGTTTATTTCGTCTTTTGGAATGGTCCACTTCTAATTGCTTAGCTCGAGATTAGAACGCTAATAGCGTTGAAGTGGTTACTGATGTTAATCTAAAGTAAAGTGAGTAAGATTTTACTAGTATTCATATCAGTTTAATACAGCTATTAATATTACATATTTTACAAATAGCTGAAAAAATTAACCCAATGTGAGCTGTTTCATTATAAAAACTAAAGTTGTTTATAAAAAGCTAACAATCAGTTAATATAGCTTTCATAGAACAAGCTCTGCTTAGTTTGAAACTTGATGGCGCTGTGAGTAAAATTATATGATACAAGACAGGAAGGACTCACATTTGGATCGGATTTCGCAAGTTCGCAAAGTTTTGTGATTTTATTGAGGCATATACGAAGTTGTTCAAAGTGTTCTTGCAATGGGCCATACACATCCAGCTTTCCGATTAGTGATGGTGGTCTTGCAGTGATAGCACGCCAATCGCTAAATTCCAACTAAAAAGGAAACATCTCCTTTCAAACAAACAATCATAAGTACTCTTTGCTCTCAATAGCTGTGCATGACAAATCAAGTTTCATGGTTATTGATATATATTTTACATATTTATAGTGTGTATATATGTATATATTTGTGTATGTATGCCTATATTTATATATTATTTCAATACTAGCTTTATTACACCTAGATTTCCTTTGGCGTTATGTAGAGATGTGGCTTCACTTCGCCATCGTACCACACGCAAAATTTTCATCCCTATCACCAGGATAATTGGCGCTCCGGTACTGTGCGCTTTTCCAGACACTTTTTGCCTCGCACAACTAATCTGTGGAAGTTATCGTCTGTGGTATTGCCGGATTTATACGATTTTCAAACCTTAAAGTAAAGAGCGTACTCCTTCCTAAAAGGCCGGCAACGCGTTTGTTACTCCTGAGTTGCAGACATTCATGGGCGGCGATAGTCACTTTTCATCAGGTAACCCGTTTGCTCGTCAGCCGGCTTAACATAACAAAAAAAAAGGCCGCTCATTGTACATAAATTTTGTTGTATCTATTTATCATTGTTTAATTGGTGTGCAATAAAGTACCCAGTGAACACGCGATTTTAAAATGACGTCATATAAGTATAGGTCACACAAAAGGTCTCATTATTTTTACGTAAGCATGATATAATGGTTACTAAGTTTCGTGACTTTCATATGACGCCATGTAGTTGACGTCACTATGACCTATTGACATCAAACTTCAGTTGATATGATGTCATTTATATGACTTAACTATATATAATTTTATGTTTTGTAAGTCGTATAATTACATAAGGTGCAGATCAGGTTACTGACGTACATATAAATAATAATGCCATCGTATTCGTATCAAATCGGTATTCGTATATAAGACACAAGTCCCCACTTTTAGGTCACGAGTTGTCACTTAAATACTTCGTAAATATTATGTCCTGTCCCTATCATATGTGTGACGTTAGTTACTTAGTAATTGACATTAGTAATTTTTTGATTTATTCTTGTTTATTAGAATGGAATGGAGAATTTTTACAGCCTTAGCCTAAGAATCAAATCAAAAACAAAATACCTTTAATAACTAGTAAAACATTTTCTTTAATAAAATAATATAATAAATTTATGTTCTTATTAAAATATAATCAAAGAGTTAATATTTTCATGAGAAGATATTGTAGTCCCGTGATGATTAAACGAAAATGTTTAGACATAAATATCTAATCTAAAAAGCATGCAGCATCCAAATACCGGCCCGTTGGTAATTTATTTTCACTGAAAGTGTTCTGGTGAGCATTAAAAACATTTTGGAGATGTTGATCTCCAAAATGTTGTTTCTTGCAAATTCCGCCATTTTTTTTCTTAACCGAATTAAAAATAGAATTTTGATAGATGCAAGGCTCATTCATTTTTAGTGCTGCAAAAAATTAAAAGAGTCTTGACCAAGTTTAGGAAGATATTGTTCGATGTTCAGCATTGGGTAGACCTAGGTGAATATGGGTAAATCCAGAATTATTGTATTCAATTGTTATTTGGACATGACCTATATACCTTAGATGATCCTTAGTAAACCGTTTTCTAGCATTAGCCCGTAACACATATACAATATTATTAATTGGTATCTTGGAGTGATCTGATGATGGATGACCGAGCGGAAATTTTAATTGACTTCGTCATTAAAGCGTGTTTTATTTTTTAGTTTTCATGATCATCATCAACAGCCTTTAACAGTCCACTGCTGGACATAAGCCAGCCACGCTGGCCAGACGGGTTGGTACAGAGTTTGTGTCAAGTTTTCCTTTTTTCTGCAGTGCTGTTATTCTGCGTAGTTTTTTCCCTTAGTCGGCTCTTACTAAACTAAAATTATTAATATTATAATATACGCATAAAGTAACTGAACATTCATACGAAATTTGTGGGAAATCAAATAGGAGCTCAAGTACATGACCTTATCATTTGTAAAAATACCCTAAGAGGTACAGTTTAAGTTATACACTTAAAGAATTTATCACGTACCTGTTTTAAAGAATCATAGACCATCAAGAGTTTTAAACGATTAAATATTACTTTCTCATGGGTAGGTTTCTTATCGCTCAGAATGACGTTAAGCCCGACTTCCTCCCCGGATAATAGTAGTTCCTCCTCTAGTTTTTTCTGTTCCTCCTTCCAATTTTCTTCACGTTTAAATAAAAATCTCAGATGTCTGTGTATAGTGTCTTCTGAACCCTAAACAAATTAGTTGAGTAGGTACAGCTCGGCACCATAGGATTCATACTTATTGTAACATTCGGAATCAGAGACACGTGTTTGACATGCTCATAAAGTCACAATTTAATAACTTAGTGGGTACATAACACACCTCGATTATATGAAGAAAATAGTAGTCATACACGAGCAATAGACCGTGTATATTAATAGCACAATAATGAGCATTAACAGCATTGATGGTATCCTGGAAGTGAAGTATAAGTTCTTCTCTTGGCAATGTATGTTCTCCAATATATATCATTCGAGTCGCATAGGTTTTCTAAAATAAATAAGGATGAAACAATTAACGAGCTGCATAGATCAAACGCATAATTAGTACAATAACGATAGTAATTACAGGAACCTATAAATTTAATACCAATATATCTACATATTTTTTCTTGAAATTTACTAAACTAATCTAATCATATTTACAAATATTATAAATCCGTACTAACCAAGTTGATTTTCTCGAAATTTTCTTCAACGACGTTCAAAACAGACCTGGTATCCAACTCTGGCAGTAACGTACCCATAATACATATTTATCTCTTAATTTTCTTCTTACAAAACATCCAAGGTTTTCCTACAGAAGCTTTTGATATGTCGAGAAGACAGACTTTATGATATAAAATGTAACGAATGCTTTCCACACATATTCCTTCAGACGTCAACTCGTATCCATGGAGACTGTGGCTAAGTAAGCAACCTTGTCACAATTAATATGGAAAGGAATGAGTATTTGTAACGGCTAAGTTTATAACTGGGGTACCCCCCACCATCTAGCGTAAGTTAATGTTCAATGTAATAATTGTCTTTTGTTATCTGGGTCTTAAATGTTGATAATAATTTATGATTGTCATTTCAAATCATAGAAATATAAATACCTACTTTAGATTAGATAAAGGAGTTTTAGATATAGGTACAACTGTGAGACACAAAATACATATTTTGTAAATAAATATATTCTTTTGATGTATTAGTATTTTGAAAATAACGTGCTTTCCTTAGATACGTCTTGCGTACATACAACATCTATATCCCTAATATGGATTTTATAAGTCCCTTGCAAAGCAACAGAGGAATATAGATAGGTATTTATTAACTATTTGTTACAGAACAGGTATAGAGATAAATAATAAACTAATTTTAAAGTGTTAGTAGGTAATTAAACATCACCTCCTTTTTAAGGAGAGCCCTATGTCCAGGAGGGGAAAAATTTATGCTGTTGATGAGGATGATGATTAGGAATTTTTAACCAAATTTTGATCTTATGGTTAATATTTACTTATTATGTATGATGATCGCATCCATTTTAAGTGTAGCAAATCTAGAACTTCTACGTATCTGCGGTTAAAAAAGCCTCTGTAAATCAAGGTCCATTACGACTAAAACATTTCTAATACATTTATTTAGATCTCATTTACATACACATCTCGGGAACAGTAACGGAGTACAGTCGGGAAACAGTATAGTAGCCTCCAACCAACTGTTAGTATCGCCCTTGGGATGGGATGGGGCAATTACAAGGAACCTGTGGGTGCGGATTACAGAAATGAGCAATTATAATAAAGAGAGCTTACCAGGGTATTTTAGTGAAAGGTGAGATAATTTGTTTTATCAATATTGAGTGCTAGTTGATTTTTGGCTTGGAAATGCCGATTCCCAAGAGTTTCCACAAAAAATTTGGGCAGTATCGTCGGCGTAAGTAAAAATGGCAATGTTCAGCTGTAACTGGCAAAGATTTTTGATATACAGTAAAAATAAGGTAGGGCCGAGGATACTGCGCTGTGGGACTTCGTTGATTACTAGTAGCTCTTGGCTACAAATTTCGCCAATCTTTACATGGTGCCTTCTATTGGTGAGGTCTCTTCTGAATAGAGACAGTTATTTACATCAGATTGCGATTTGTTGAAATTTAGTGATAAGGATATAGGGACAGAGATCATATTTAAAGCTTTGAAACGTCTAGAAAAACACCCATAAGCTTTCGTTTTTCCTCAAGCTTAGCTTTTACTTCGTTGGTTAGGTCCAAGACTACTTTACTCGTGGATAGACCGGAACGAAAACCATATTGGCATCGAGACAACAGATGTTTTTGCTCTAAGAAATTTACAAGCCTGTTGATCATAAAACTCTCTAATATTTAAAAAAGGGTTGGTAAAATAAATATAGGTCTGTAGTTATTCGGTTGACCCCTGTCACCTCATTTGTAGATCAGGTGATCTACAGCGAGTTTGAATGCTTCTGGACATGATCCTGTATTTGAAGCGAGATCACATAAATATGTAATGGGTGGAACCAAAAAGTGTTATTTTAGCAAGTTACCCGAAATGTTATCGCTACCCACCGCACAGTTACTTTTTAGATTAATTATGAGAATCTCAACTTCAGATTCATTCGTTACTAATAAGGTGAATGTGTTGGTGGTAAGTGAGGACGTCTGCCGAGTGTGAATGGTGATTGACAGTAGTGATTTGGTAGGCTTGGTCCAATATCAGCAATGTAGGTATTTACTTCGTTCATCTACCGTCTTGGGTCTGATGGGGAGAGAAGTTCGAGCGGTTGGTTCTTATCGTTTAACGTGTGTGTGATAGTTTTAATAGCTCTCCAAACTTTTTTGTGTTACCTTGTTCATTATCTGATTTTTTATTATCTTTTAATTAAATATGCCTGTTTTTTTTTTAAATTTAAAATAACTCCTATACCGTTTAAACCCTTTTAAGTGAGGGATAGTTTCGGAATTTTGTAGAACAATTGAAGAATCCAAGTCAGTTACTCTTGGACTGCCTTCGTCTTGGATTGAAAACATATTGTTATTTGATTATTTCGTTTACGTATCTTCATAAATACATAATGTACAATATATATACCTAATGTATACCATTCTCTATACACTATCACTGAGATTGCCACTCCTTTCACTACTGTTCGATAGGCCGATTTAATTTATTATATTTACATATAAAGGTGAAAATAAAAATGTTCAGTAGTTACACACCACAGGTAGTTTATTTCGTAAGTTAATAATTTAAGTGAAATTTTAAAACATTTGTGACAATTGTAACACTTTTATATCAAAATAATAGTGGTGGTGGCAAAGATGTTTACGTGTTTAGACGTTTTGTTTCAATATCAGAATACAATCTTTTACTACACAGATTAAGGCGGTATTTACAAAACTGCCTGACTTGTGTGGAGTGAAGTGGATGGGATAGCAAAGACCTAGATTGGGTCAGTGGACGAAGTCCAGCGTCGTGTCTTTACTACGATAATAGCTTTAATGTCAGGGCACCGTCTTATCTTAGTTCGATCCCACAATGGTAATTACCAATCATATAATAAATATGAATTATTGAGGTCCTACTGAAATGATGGACAGAAATAATATACAAGCAACCTTATTCAAAAACCATAAAGGGAGTTTTGTCTATTACCTAAATCATAACTCCCATCTAAGCCCCTGTTGGAACGTTCTAATATGGTGCAAATTAATTTGAATAGCTAATACACTATTTATAAGTTCTACATAGAAAATGACATTTTATAAATTCAGTTTAGTAATCCTCTTCTTCGTATCGATTGCTTCTTGGACTACCATATCTGTTAGAACTCCTGTTATTGTTGTATTGATAATTATTTCTATTGGACTGGTAATTATTCCGATTGTACTGGTAGTTACTTCTGCTATACTGGTAATTATTTTGTCTGGGCCTCCATTTACTTTGCTTTTCTTTTTCTTTAGTAATATTATGACAAGCTGCCAGATCCAATAACGCACGTGGAATTTCCTGAAACATTAATTTTTAATTTCACGTTATATTTGATAGAGAAAACTTTGTGAACCATGAATACCCCACTGAAACTCAATGTCGGAGAATACCCCACTATTTATTTACACATCATGCACACTGCGCTTCTGGAAGGAGCTTGGTTGGCTCACCTAGCTAACCAATCCTCGACGCATAAAGGACCACTCTTGAGTCTAAATGCGGCAACCGAAGCCCACAACCAATACCAATACATCATGCACATTGATTGCATTAGCAGACTTAATGTCTAAGGCATTCACTACCAGTCAACCATTGGATGATGCAGAGAAAACAGAGAAATTAGGTGCATTTTGGTGTTATTTTAGTACCTAGGCAACGAGGATTGGCAATGAACTAGAATAGTGGATCACAACAAGAAGATTGATTAAACTACATTCACAAATATAATTATACAAATAGTACCTGATTTGCTTCTTTCATCACCTCAATCAAACTTTGTGCTTGTCTTGCATTTTCATCAGTCAATATTGTGTGTGAAACTCCTTTATTTTCCTGGCGACCTGTTCGTCCTATCCTATGAATGTAGTCTTCTGATGTGTTCGGGAAATCATAGTTGACCACATGTGTGACTCCATCAACATCTGTAATGTTTACAATAGCGCTAAATAAACTAATATTAACTAAGAGCTAATTTGAATTGAAATCAAATTTAGTGTTATGCTTCATAGCAATGAATACACTAGATTGTACTTGTACATGCCTTACTTAACATCAAGGGGTTATTTATGGACTGAGAGGCAGAGATAAAAAAATATTTTACACACTCCTGGGGACATACGAAATCCAGCCAATCATGGCCCTTTGTCTTTACTAACGTGAATACCATCATTCCTAATGGTTTTCATCAATATAACAGATACCCTGGCAATTTTGCAGCCACCTCTGGGTCCATTATGGCTTGTTAAAAATATAAAACATAAGCATAGATAGTTTAAAATTCAATACAAACTCTAAGAGTGCTGCGTTTACAAGCCTCAACAAGTGTACACAGGCACAAGTCTAAACAAGGTGTTTTGTCTGCTATGTTTGCCTTTCCGAAACACACTAACACACTCACAAATGTGTAAATGGCATCCAAGCCTTTATAAAGGCTTTGAGCTTGTGGCCGTTTGCCAAGCCTCGGCACACATGTAAACTAGGCTTTACTAATATACATTTCTATTTAATTTACATAAATATGCCCCTACAAGTTATAGATATGGCATTACAGGGTGGAAAACAACTCTACAACCACCAGCTCAGCAGTCAGGATAATCGACAACTAAGCCAACAGGCCTATCCATGTGTAAAAACCCTTGAATCTTTACTCTCAATCATAACATTGCCTTAAATTTTATATTCATTTTCTTACCAAGCCCTCTGGCAGCAACATCAGTTGCTACTAAAATTCTTGACCTGCCAGTTTTAAATTGATTAATAATCTTGTCCCTTTGTAGTTGTGTCTTATCACCGTGAATGCCTACAGCAGGCCACCCATTTTTCTGTAGTGTATTAGCCAAAGAATCCACAAATCTTTTAGTGTTTGTGAATATTAGAAGTTTTCCATAATTGTCTCCAGATATTTCATGCATTATTTCTTTAAACCTGAAAAATGTTATTAATATCACAATGTGGTTTCAAACTATCAATACAAGCCTGTTGTACACAGCTGTGTGCTCGTGTCTCTTTTGACGTAATATTTAAATTTACCATATTTTTAATGGCTGTGTTACATTACCATGTACATGTAAATTATGATAAAGATTTATTTCTACATTTTGTCCAAATATTTTTTTAATGTAGTATTACTTACTTATCCATTTTTTCTTCCTGGTCACAGACATGTACCAATTGCTTGATGTTATGGTTTGCTGACAACTCCGTTGATCCTACATTTACTTGTACAAAGTCTCCCAAATAATCTCTTGCTAAATGCCGTACTTCTTTAGGCCAAGTTGCAGAAAACATTAAAATTTGCCTTTCTTTAGGAACTCCTTCTAAAGCTTGCCGAATTTGTGGCTCAAAACCCATATCTAACATTCTATCAGCTTCATCTAATACCACATAAGTTGATCTGTTCAATGTCGTAGTTTTACTGTTCAGGAAGTCATTCAATCTACCTGGTGTAGCAATAAGAATGTCAACCCCTTCTCTTAATTTCTCTGCTTGCACTGACCGACTTGCACCTCCATATATACATAGACAGCGGATATTTAGCAGCTTTTCAAAATCCTTTGCCACCTGCTCAATTTGTCGGGCAAGTTCTCTTGTAGGAGCTAGGACTAATACAACTGGACCAAGACCTCTTCTAGCCTTCTTTTCTTTAATATGAACGGCTGCTGGTAACAAGTATGCCAATGTCTTACCAGTACCAGTTTGGGCAATCCCAACAAAGTTTTTACCACTCAAAGCAATAGGCCATCCTTGTGACTGGATAACTGTGGGTTTTGAAAATCCCTGTTCATTTAAGAAGTTTTTTATATAAACAGGAAATCCACAGGTGTCAATTTCTGTATACGGATCTGGTACATCATCCCCGATAACTGTAATATTGTGTTCATTTCGATATTCGTCAGAATCTAACCGTTGTGCAGTTTTAGTGGAGTAGAATTTACCAAGCTGAATAGTTGGTATTTGTAACTTTGATGTCGTTGTAATGAATTGGTTATAAGTTGAATATGGTATAAAGTAAGTGTTAACAAACTGAGATAATGTAACTTCATATTTTGGTTTGGAGCCGATCGACCTGGAAATTAGAGAAAAACTTTTTTATTGCAACAAATACAGACATTTTAATATTCATTAAAAATTGGTTATAGCGTACAGTTTGTATACACCCCTCTGTCTCAATAGTCTTGTCAGCATAGTTAAGGCCATATCTGGCTATACCTCTGTTTATTTAACAATTTACGCAAGATGTTGAAACCACGATTACTTTTAGGTTATGTTAGCACTACCAAATATTAATAGACTTCAAAAAGTTAAAGTTAAAACTACTTTCCATTCCTGGAAAGGGATATTTTTTGTGATATTTTCTAGACTTTTAACCCTTTCAAGCAATTAAAATTCAACATCGGTATTTTAACTTTAAATAAATTGTCATGTGCGATTGACAATTAAGATTGACATTTGAGAAATTAGTAGAGTTTCAGTGTGACCGTTATGAAATATTACTAATCTACTAAATTCGGCAACTTTTTCTACAAAAATCTGCTGAAATATACTGAAGTAAAAAAAAAACTACCGAAATTCTACCAACCTACCGTACCATTTCGGGGAAGAATAATTTTCAAACAGTATAACAAGCAAAAACGACACAAATACGGTATAAAAGAGTTTAAACTCTGTACTATACTTGGATATACCTTTAAGGTCAATGTTTATGCTGGAAAAATGATACTGCGAATACTTCCCCTACCGCTGTGGTAATGGAATTGTGTAGTGATCTTTTAAATAAAGGCCACACACTGTATACCGATAATTGGTACACAAGTGTTGACCTGGCCCGAAAGCTGTTAGCAGTTAAGCAGATAGTGAGACACATTTAGTGGGCACCCTCAGAAAAAACCGGAAAAACATTCCGAATAGTGTTGTATTTAAAAAACTTAAGAGGGGGGATTACATTGCCAAGGAAAGCGCAGACGGTATCACTATAATGAAATGGAAGTATAAAAGAGAGGTCCTCGTTTTGTCTACTAAGCACTCTGTACGTTTTGACAATGTTACAAAGCGTGGAAAAGTGATATCCAAGCCGCAAATAATTGTAAATTACAATAAAGGTAAAGGTGCCGTCGATTTATCGGATCAAATGACTTCGTACTCTAGTCCTTTGCGTAGATCCGTAAAATGGTATAAAAAACTTGTAATTGATTTACTCTTGAATACATCGATGGTCAATGCTTTGAGATTGTACAAGAACACAACAAAACAGAGCATTCAGATAGTGAAATTTAGAACACAAATTTTAAAGAATTTATGCAACCAAGACGAACAAGTTGTGACAGTACAAAGGCCGAGGAGACTGAAGAATATTTTGGCCAAGAAAGATGGTACAGCTAGAGACAATAGCTAGACGAACCTGTCAACAATGCTACAAGGAAAATGCTAAGATAATGGGTACAAAACTGGCCAAAAATAAATCAAAAAAGGTGGTAACTTTTAGCACAAGTTGTCTAAATAAACCGTGGTTGTGTTTGGAATGTTTTAACAAAATTCACTCCTAAAATATTTTAATTTTTTATTTATAGTTGTGTCATATACTGGCGCCATTTAGCAGACTGATTTTGTTAGATCACTTTTAGAGATTTATTTGAATTTTAGTGCAGTTTTTTTTTTACTTACATAAAGTACTTTTTATTTTGCCATTAATAAATAATTTAACGTTTGTTTAAGAGAGAGAGAAAGATAAGACTTAAGAAACTTGTGTCATACCTATTAAAATGTAAGTTCTTGGTGTTCTTTTTTGAGCCCTATAACAAAATAAGTGTTAAACTTTTAAAAACTATTTATACAATATCAATAATAAAAATATTACGTTCAGATTCAATTATTTTTTTCTATAAAAACCCCTTTTACCAGTTTGTTGTGTATGAAGTTTAGAATAACCCCAAAAAAGTAATGAAAATCGTAAATATATTCTAAGTCTTTTGCAACACACGAAAACCAAGCTGACTAGATTGTTCTATAGGGCCACGCGGCTCACTCTCTAACATTTTTGTATGATATCTTTGCTAGGTGGCCTGTAAAACAGGTTTGAATCGAAGTCCTCCTTTGGGTCACCGGTGACCCCCGTGGCTCTAACAGCTTAACATGGTTTGGCCCACCGGTGTCCCCCATGGCTCCAATGAAACAACCTGCTCTTTGTGTGGCGTTCAACGTGTTAAAATACTATAGAGTAAATAAATAGAATACTAATAGAGTATAAATAAATAGAATATGAATAGAGTACTATTCTCAAAACATTATAATGCAAAATTCCGTGTAAGTCGGGCTTAAAAGTATACATTCGGGGAAGCCTCTGCTACAAACAATACTAACTATATTATTATTTATTATTATTATTTATAGGCTTAGACACAAGTCCTTTCAGCTAGGACCATTATTGCGTTAAATCTACTGAAATCTACTAGATGTTTGGAAACTACTCCATGGTCAAATTTTCATTGGAAATCTACTGCTGCAGTAGAAAATCTACCGTAAACGGTCACACTGTAGAGTTTACACCATAGAGATTTTAGCAAAAAGGAAAGAGTGAACCAAAGCTATGAGCCAAAGATAAATGGCATTAAAATCAATCAAAATTCTTTTTATCGAAGATTACGTTTTTTTTTTAGATTCAGACCTTTCAAAAGTCTTGCGATAGCGCAGGGATTCTTAAACTATTTTGGTCAAGAGACCCCTTTTCCAAAATGAACTGATACTTTAGACCCCACAGCCAAATTAATTTAAAATCCTCTGTATCTATTTTTTTTTATATACCCACACCACCCACACCCACATGTTATATATATATATATAAGTATTGCTCGTTTAAAGGTATTACATAAATATATTATTATGACGCATACTATCTGTCAGTTCTGTAATTCAGTGCTCTGGATCTTACATTTCCTTATATTATTATTTGTCCTCGAAGGAAAATGACTTCCGGCTTCAAAATAATTAAAAACCAAAATGGAGGAGAAACCTTGCTTCTTCTTCCAATTAATTATATACAAGAAGACTGGTCATTAATCGTGCGACTTTCGCCAGATTCACTCTAAGTAGAACATTTTCAAACATATTGCTATTGACAAAGGTATCCTTTAAACAGTATTTTCTGCTTTTGGATCAACACCGCTCGACCAACTCCCTAGAGGGTGGGCACAGAAGACTAAACTAGAGGGTATCAATACACTATGACTCTAAAATTAACCACCTTATCTTTAACCATTTGAAAAAGAATAGGAGAAATCGAGATATTTACTTTAATAAAAAATATAAGAATTATTTACACAAGCTTCAAACAGAAAAACTATCACCCTTACAATTCTTAAGAAAAATAGTGTATTTAAAGCTTAAATATCAAACTTTTTGTTATTTGGCTGTCTCATATCCTAAGTTTATATCGTCCACATGAGTAATAATAATTTTGTTATCAACCTACAAAAAAAAAGGTTTTTTTTTTATTTCAAGTTTTGAAATTATTTTATAGTGGAAATTGTAACAGTGGTATATTTGATAAATGGACTGTGGAGGAACGGGTGTTATGTCCCTCCAACACAAAGGGAGAATCCTCTGACCAGGCGAGGTGATCATGGCTGGCGGGCCGCGGCACAACGGTTGATGTTGGGAAGTTGTATAAATGCTAATCGGCGAGGGAATTCTTTATATCGCGATACAGGATTAGCAATTCTTATTTTAGTAGTTACTCCGTAGTTCGGAGTGTCTTCATTAGATGGCGCTGTAGTATGTTTCTGTTTCTTTGTATGTGGGAGTCGCCACAGGACCATTTAGTAAATGGGCGTTTAAATGATGCTGAGGTCATTGTAATACAATGGACATTTTGATTCAGTGGACTTTATATGGCGTGTGCGTTGCCCCAGCGGAAAAATGTAGAATTTCATTGTTTAAGTTTAACAGATATTTAGTGTATGACGTCGTATATGGTATGATAAGTAAAAATTTGTGTATCCAACCATTGCGGAGTTATTCACGAAAAACTGAATAGAAAAAGTGCCGCTAGGACAACGTTGTCCCAGCAGCACATTTTTATGCTGTGGACGTAGATGAAAAAATTTTTTTATTAAAAATTAGTGTATGACGTGAGGTAATTGTGTATGTTTAAATAAAATTTGTGCGTCAATAAACTGCGAAGATATTCAGGTTTCCACTGCGACAATGTTTGGCCATTTGCTAGATTTCATATATATATATAGATATGATATATATATGTGAATATTAGGCATAGATTTATAAGTAGGTAAATATATAGGGTATCTGAAAATGTGAGAATCTAGAAAAAAACTCGTCTAAGCAGAAAACGCAGGACGGAATCAGTCTTCCGCAACAGCAATAGTAGCCTGGTTTATTAAGAAAAATGAATGCCTAATAAAAAAAAACTAAATTATGACGGACGATGTCAATATCATGCTATATATTCATGTTAAAAAAAGTGAAGTAATTGTTATTTGTATCTGCGTCTATAAATGTACCACACATATACGAGTACATTCGTTACATTCAATACCGATAATAACCGCGACAAAAAAAAACTAACTTTACTGTGAAAATGTTATATTTTTATAACTGTATTTCCCATGCCTAGTAAGTGCATAGGTAATATATTAGAATATCTTACTTTATCTTCTATCAGCTTCTTATTATTGGGTTACTATACTATTCCTTTTCAGCGCCTGGTCAAATAATTTAATTCCTACCGTGTTAACCGAGTTCAAATTTTTTGAAATGATTGAATTTATTGTATTTAAGTTATTGTATTGTTGTTTATTGCATAAGAAGAAAAGTTATAAAAAACACAGAAGAGATAAAAGTTAAAAAATTTTTTTTTCTTAATTTTCAACTTTTTTAAATTTTTTGGAATTATGCCTTTATTTGTGCTGTAAGACCTTGCTTTTAACCAAAATTGATAATTCTAGGTCAACCTGTATTCTTATATATGCAAGTATATATTATATACTTGCATTTATAAAAAAAGAATACAATAAACTTTATGAATTTTGGAACTTGATTATTTGTATGTTTTTTTGTTATAAATATATCTATTTTAAGAATCGTAACGTTGTTGCAGCGGAAACCTGAATATCTTCGAAGTTTATTGACGTACAAATTTCATTTAAACATACTGAATTACCTCACGTCATACA